AGCACAATCCGGGCAAGAGCACTTGTGGGGGGCAGGTGTCCGAGGTGGTGTGTGGACGCAGCTACGTGTGTGTTGGCATCTCCGGAGAGGGAGCAGGTGCAGCCCTCACTGCTCTGGAGGGGCGTCCCACTCCGGAAGAACTGCTCAGACTGCCCTCACTGACCCGGAGGGCGCTGGGCTGGGATTCCTGCCCACCCCCCATTTCGACACTGGGGCTGCAGACCAGCTCTGCCTTCTGCCTTTATTAGGTTACTCTTAAGACCACCAACCCAGGAGCGAGGGGCTTGGGATTTGGGGTTCGCTGCCAATCCTGGGGACTCAGGAAGCTTCTGCCTGTGACTTCTGTGGGTCAGGAGCTGCAAAGGGAGCCAGGGGCTATCATTTTCTGGGGTGCCCCTCCCAGGGATGCTGGGGATGAAATGGGGCCTCCTGAGTGCCAAGCTGCTCTCTTGACCTTGGGCAACCCCTATAGTATATATATATTCTCCCTCCCCCTTTTTGAACCTCAACAACAGTGCTGGGGGCCTCCAGGACTACTCCCGGTCCGGTGGCGCTGGCCTGGATGGGGGGTGTGCGGTGCTGGGCGTGGAACCCCAGGCCTCACGCTCGCCTGGTATGACCTTCACTCTGCTGAGCCCGTGTGTCGGAAGGATATCCGAGTTAAAGACGTCTTTGGACTTCATCGGCCCCTCTCAGTATCTGGGGCTTGACATCGTTTAAAAAGCCACCCTGAGTTATTTGAACGGACTAAGTCTCCGCCGTTCAATAATTCATGTTGATTTAGGAAGCTGTACTTCTAACAGGCGCCCAGAGACGGCAGAGCTACTCGTAGGAGGGGTGAGGAGGAGAGGGAACGGGGAGGGGGCTGGGAAAGCCCCTTTAATAATGAATGTGGCATCCGCCATCCTCCCTGCCTCCTCCTCCCCCCCCCCCCCCCCCCACACACACCTCCACCTTTTTCCATTTTCTCTTTACTGCAGCCTCTGGTATCCTCTGACCTCTGACATAGCGTCAGGGGTTTCATCAATGACTCTCCCGGCCAGAGTGGCAAGTGGGGCTCCCTGGTTTATGGGTGAATCTCTAGCGCCCAATCTACATTCGCACAGTTATATACCTACCAAGTCCTTGCCCTCCACCTCTCACCTGTTCTGGGTTCCCCAGAACCCTGTTCCCCAAGTTTCCGGGTGGCCTGAAGAAGGCTCACAGTGCTCCTCTGACAGCGCTGGACTGGGATGGTGGGGTGTCTTCCTAGCCCGGGGTTTCTGCAGCGGGTAGCAGCTGTCTGCATGTGTGTGAGTGTGTGGGTACGTGTGGGTGCATGTGTGTGAGATGAGTATTCATGTGCGCATGTGTCTTCCTGTGTGTGCATGATTTTTTTGTGTGTACACGTGTGTACATGCATGAGTGTGTGTGGATGTGTGTGTGTTAAAATGGAAATGTATTATCTGTGTCTTTGGTTTTCTAATTGGTGGATAGCACGTACGCTAAAGAGATAATTTTGGTTGTGAGTGGAATATTTTAAAGGTACCCACCTTGTCTGCGCTTTGGGTGAACCTCCCTGTCACGACAAGCTCATGTGTGTGCGTGAGTGTGTGTATGTGCATAAACAGGAGTGCATGCATGCATGTGTGTGCATTTACATGTGTGTGCAGGAGTGTGCTGTTGAATGTATGTGTGTGAGTGTGAATATGCATGTAGGTGTGTGCATGTGTGTGTGTATAGGCGTGCAAGTTCACGTGAGTGCATGTGTGAGTGTGTGCATGTGTGTGTGTGTGAATACTGTTTCACGCTAAGAGATCTCTCCTTTTATTATCCTCCTTGTAACAGACGAAGAACCAGACACTCCACCCATTCATCCGCTCGTTTATGTGAAAAGCCTGAATATGCCGGCAGACCCCCCCTGGTCTGGGGGGCTGCTGGGGAGCAGGCCCAGAGAACCAAGCCGGCCTGCAGGCCGTGCACGGACGCACAGCAGGTAAGGTGCTAGCGGGTTTGCCGCTCCCCGGATGCCAGGGCCTCGAGGCCCAGCCTGGCCGAGCATTTGCAGAGATGGTCAGACTGTGTGCGGGGAGCTGTGAGCCGGGGGCTGGCGGAACTCGCCGGATCCCCTTTCCAGCCTCAGAGCAACAGCCAAAGCGGATCCCTCCTTTGCCTCGGTCACCTCTGTCCCCTCAACAGTGCCGCTCCTTACGGAGCTGGGGCCAGACAGATTATTTGGAGAACATGGTGATTCACTGCCACCTTCAATGACAGGGGAGGGCTCTCCCAGAGAGGTTGAGCCACTGGGCTGATGCCACACAGCTGACTAGAGACAGGATCGAGCCTCTGACCTTCGGGTCTGCCATCTGTCTATGACCCCACGCTCCCCAAGATGCCCAGATGTTGGTTTCCACCTGGTCTGAGTCAAGGCCAGGCTCTTGGCAGCTGGCGTGCCACAGAGAACCCGAGGCTCGACCTTCAGCCCCGCGCCCCCACATCCCTGCCGTCTGGCCCGGCTCAGCCTCCCGAGCTGGTTCTCTGTCCTCCTCCCTGCCCTCCCCGCATCTCCGCGCCAAACAGAGACGCGACACTCATCGCGCCCGGAGACTTGGCTGCGGGGCCGGGTCCCCCTGCAGCCGACGCAGGCTTAGCGGCGCACACACAGCTGTTGGCTCTGTGATCTCTCGGATTCACCCTCCTCACTCGGGGCTCTGACGGAAGACCCCTGGGGGCGTCCCTCTGTTCCAGCCAAAGTGTTTGCTTTGCAATTTTTGCCCGCACATACCATCTGAGTTTGCTCCCACATCGTCTGCAGGTTCTCATCAGGCTCTTGCTTTATTTAATTAAAAATCTATCTCAGGCAAATACAGACTAAATTAGGAAGTGCTCTCATCCCGGGAAGGCGGGCAGGGAAGGCCGCCCTCCCACGGGGCGCGGGCTGGGCCAGCTTCCCAGGCTGAGATGTCAGGACAGCAGATGGGGTCCTGGCTGGCGGGGGTAGGGGGTGCGGCTGGCCAAGGGAGAACCCCTCCCCCGCCACCGCCGTGCCCTCTGCAGGAATAGCCGTGCTGCAGTGCTGGGCGTCCAGGCTCAGACCCCAACCAGGGCTGAGCTTGCTTCCGGCTCTCTCTGCTGGGGCCACTCCCTGGCCTGCACCCCCAGCCTAGGCAGCTGGCCACCCCTGGTTTGTTACTCACCCCTTTCCTCACCCACCTCGGAGGGCTCTGAGCCATGGAACCGAGCTCTGTGCCTCTAAGTGGCCCAGTGCTGGCTCTGGGCTGTGGAGATCTGCAGGAACGCCAACAAGCTCTTAAATAGTTCATTCTGAGTCTTGGCCATGGACCGCCCCCTCCACCCCACCCCACCCCACCCCACAGACCTCCAACCCAGCAGCTGGGGCGGGGCAGGGGTGCAGGGTGGAACCAGGGTTCCTTGCTTCTTGTGACGCACGCTCGCATGAAGGGGGATAGTGAGAGAAGCCACGTGAATCAGGTCATGAGACTTTTACTGACAAGTTCAGGTTTTGTTTTGTTTTGTTTTGTTTTGGGTAGGGGGATCTCAAGTGGGCTTCTAGGTGCCACTTCTGGTGATACTTGGTCAAGTGGGCTGGACGGTTCAGCACTTGGGCTGGGGGGCACTCTGGCTGTGCTCGGTGCCCCCAGGCTTGTGGTGCTGGGGGTCAACCCGGGGTCCTAGTGGACACAGCTACACCCTGTCCCTGAGCTCTCTTTCTGCCCAGTAGCTGCTGAGTTATAAAACCCTTGTTATGGGGGTCACTTCCGGTGGGGCTTGAGGGGCTCATGTGGCAGTGGGGCGGAACCCCACGCGCACGACAGGCTCATTCCCAGAGTACCCTCCCCCCACCCCCCAACTGCTGATTTTAACTGAAAGAGTATCGGAGGATGAGAACTGACTTTCTAGACCCTCGGGACCCTCTGGGAAGCCGGAGGACCGTGTGCAGAACCCAGAGACTGGAACCCCGCTGCCAGAGCTCACTACCCACGCCCACGCTGCCGGGAGAGCCAGCGCTTGGCCTCTGCCTCCTGCCTCGCACCAGCTGACCGTGCAAGCAAGCCCCTCGACTGGTCGTCTCTCTGCTCGCACTGGGGTGAGAGTCCATCCTTGTTTGCCAAAACGAGGGGCGCCAGGACTCCTAGAGGGAGGAGCTGGTGCTTGATTTTTGCCCCCCCAAACCCCCCTGTGTCCCTCACCCCCCCCACCCCTCCCCCAACACACACACACACACACATCTACATTAGAAGAGTCGAGCTGGTGCATGGAAAAGGGGTTGAAGCTGTCACACCTTCACATTCTTGCTGCTTCTGTGCCAAGGCTGGGTTCCTGCTGTCCCATGTTTCAGCGTGCCTGCGCACACTGGCCCCTGGCCCTGGGTGCAACTGACGGGCGGGCACTGAGGCCTGCCTCCAGACAGTTCTGCTCAGGGCCAGGGGGACGTGGGGGCAGCTCTGGTGGGGGACAGGAGCCTGAGAAGAACTTTCCTTGGGGTGATTTCGGCTGTCCAGTTCTTTGCCCAGCACGAGGACAGGCAGGGGGCAGTGGAGGCTGGGGAGGAGCAGGGTCCCCGGGGGGTTCCTGTGGACACACCTGGAGGGGACACTCAGGTCCTGATTCTGACAGGCTGGAGGCTGCGTGGGACTTTCACACCCAGAGGGAGGCCAGCTCAGCAAGGGCACTGGGGAAGGGGCACCGGGGCCCTCAGTCGAGGCTCAGGGGGTTCAGGCACAGCCTTCACTGTGTCTTCACCGCCCGGCACAGCCCCCGGCAGAACAGAGACACGCAGGACCCCAAGTGGCTTCCGTAGCTGGCGTGAGACTGCACAGAGTGGTGGACCTCCGCCTCCTACGCCCACTTTTCTCCTTCCGGTGGGTGCGGATACCAGGGGATGGCAGTGGCCAGAGTCGCGGTGGGTGGATAACCCCAGGGCTGCACCTCAAGTCTGGCCAGAGGCGCTCTCTGGGGCCTCCCGCCCGGCCCCTGCCCACCCGCCTGACGGGTCTTACCCAGCACCGTGAGGCGCGCGGGGCGGGAGCGGATGGCTGCCTGGATGGCCTGGCACTCGTACACGGCGTCATCCTGCAGCTCGGCCCGCAGGATCTTCAGGTGGTGCTCCCCGGACAGGTGGTTCCCCACCACCAGGTACTGCGGGTAGCCTGTGGGGCAGAGGCTCATCACCTCGGGCTGGCAGAATGGGGGCCCGGGGCTCAGGGTGGGGCGTGGGTGGAGGAGGGAGACACACAGGGCCCTGGGGCTCATCACGGGGGAGGGGGGTGGGCGGAGTGGGGGCCCCAAGGCTGGGCTCATGGGGGTGCTGGGCAGAGCGGGGAGGCACCCAGGGCATAGCAGGGCTGAGCTCAGAGCGGAGAGCACGGGAGGGACCCATGGCTCCAGCTTGTCTTGGGGTCAGGAGCAAAGAAAGGAGGGTTTCCCCAGGTGCGGGGTCATGTGTGCATGCATGTGCGTGTGTGCTGGTGTGTGTGTGTGTGTGTGTGTGTGTGTGTGCATGTGCTCAGGGATGCATGCATGTGTGCTAGTTAGTATGTATGTGCAGGTATGCATGCATGCGTGTGTGTGTGTGCTGGTTTGTGTGCACGGATGCACGCGTGTGCTGTGTGCATGTGTGTGCACATGTGTGTGCATGTGGTCCGTGTGCGTGTGTGTGTGCGTGTGAATGCTATCTATGCCCATGGGCCTCCGTATCCAATGCACTGTGGGTCTGAAGTGGAGGAGTTTGGGGGAGGCAGTAATTAAAGAGGGGCAGGGGGACCCTGGGTGGAGTCAGACACGGAGGGTCTCAGGCAGGAGCCGGTCCCCAGGCTGGCTTGTGTGTTGATAAGGAGACACACAGACAGGCAGACCAGGCTGGCTAGCGTGCACAAACTGAGAGACGGAGTAAGAGGGAGAGAGAAGGGGGACCTCAGACATGCTTGGGGAAAAGTGAGGAGTTCTTTTCTGAGGAGGGTCAGGAGATAGAAATCTCGGCCACCCCCACTCCCCAGCCCCCTGCCCCTGGGCCCTGCAGGTTTCCACTCAGACTCAGGGACCACCCCACCCCCAAGCCTGGGGCTGCTTTATGCTCTCAAGCGCTGCGGCCCACCACCTCATGGCATCCCCCAACTTCTTCCCTGACAGTGGGAACATCAGGGGAGGAGACGGGCTTTGGGATCCCTTGGACAGGGGAGCAGGGCCAGGCCCGGGGGCACAGACAGAGCCCTGAGCTCTTTCTTTAGTCTCCTGCATCCAAGAAGTGACCACGAAGCAAGGCCCCATGGTGGAACCCATGTGGGGAAGACTTCATTTGTTTAAAAAGTCAGGATGCCTTTGATTTAGTTAGATATTTATTTTTGGATTTTGGGCCACACCCAGCTGTGCTCTGGGCTGCCCCTGGCTCTGCGCTCAGGAGTCGCTCTGAGTGGTGTCAGGGACCTATGGGTGCTGGGGATTAGACACAGCTTGGTGGCCTGAAAGGCGAGTTCCTTACTTGCTGCACCGTCTCTCCAGCCCTGTCTGTCTGGGGCCTCACAAGCAGCACTCGGAGGCTGCTCCCAGTGACACCCTGCTTGATGGCTCCGTGCTTGGTGTTCCACACGACCCTGGTGGCCCAGTGCAGCCTGTGCCTCTCTGCCCTGCTCCTATTCTGTCTACCTGCCGACATACCTACCCATCTACTCCCTATCTACTATATTTTCCATCTACTATTTACTATGTATTTGCTATCTACTATCTATCCATTTATCTATCAAGTGTTTGAGCCACTCCTGACAGTACTCGGGGTTTAGTCCTGACTCTGTGCTCAGGAGTGACCCTTAACATTGCTTAGGGGACCACAGGAGGTGCTGGGGATTCAAGCCAATTGGTTGAAAGAAGACAAGCAAGAGGTGAGACGGTGCACGCTGAGGTCTCTCCCAGGCCCTGCAGAGGTAAGGCGGTGCATGCTGAGGTCTCTGGCTGGGCCCTGCAGAGGTGAGGCGGTAGGTGCTAAGGTCTCTGCTGGGTCTTGCAGAGGTGAGGCAGTGTGTGCTGAGGTCTTTGTTGGGCCTTGCAGAGGTGAGGCTGTGTATGCTCAGGTCTCTCCCAGACCCTGCAGAGGTGAGGCAATGTATGCTGAGGTCTCTCCCGGGTCCTGCAGAGGTGAGACAGTGTGCTCTGAGGTCCCTGCAGAGGTGAGGTGGTGCACCCTGAGATCTCTCCCGGGCCCTGCAGAGTTGAGACGGTGTGCTCTGAGGTCCCTGCAGAGTTGAGGTGGGGTGCCCCAAGGTCTCTCCCAGGCCCTACAGAGGTAAGGCGGTGCATGCTGAAGTCTCTGGCTGGGCCCTGCAGAGGTGAGGCAATGTATGCTGAGGTCTCTCCTGGGCCCTGCAGAGGTGAGGCAGTGTGCCTAGAGGTCTCTCCCAGGCCCTGCAGAGGTGAGACGGGTCTCTCCCGGGTCCTGCAGAGGTGAGGCAGTGTATGCTGAGGCCTCTTTGGGGCCCTGCAGAGGTGAGGTGGTTCCCAGGATGGAGGGCGGTATAGAGCCCACTGTACCCGTACCCAGTTGGTGTAGGAAGAGATGATTTTCCCAGTCCAAGTTTTGTCTCTTTCTGAAAATCCAGGCTTTTCTTCATGACACCGTTGTCCCCTGCCATGCAAGTAAATGGTTCCCCCTCTCCCCAAGTCCTGGCTGTCCCCCTTGCCCCAGGATGTTCTCCAGGCAACATATGTTCATCTGGGACCTGATATCCTCCCCTTCTGCCCTCTGCTGGGCTTTGGGAAGGAGCCAGGAGCAGGCTGGAACAGGGGCTGGTGGGGTGCCCCCTCTCCCGTCCATCCTGTGATTAGCTAGGGTCTCCTGCAGGCTTCCTGGCGGAGCCTCTGATTTTGTTGCCTTGTGTGCTATGAGCAGCGGGACCCCCACTCTCTCCTCCCGAGCTGCCGCAAACATCAGCGATGGGGTTGTTTGTATTCACCTAATTAGGCGCGGGCTGGGGTGTGCGGTCCTGGGGACTGCCATCAGCTTTGGAAAATGCGGGCCTGGCAGATGGGGAGGAAGGGCCCATTCCGTCCCGCGGTCCCGGCTCTCGCTGCCGCCAGGGGAGATAGATGGGATGCTCCGGGTTCTGCCCGCTCTCTCGTGTCCTCATCCTGCCATTGGAGGAAGCTCCGGCATCTTCTCTGCTGTCTGCTCACTACAGAGGATGCGGGGAGCGACGGGGAAGATCGGAGGAGAGAATCTATCTCAGATGACGGTGCAGAGTCGGGGGGCTGTGAGTGCCAGTGGCAGTGTGGGATGGAACTTGAGGGTCTGACAGCAGAAGGAGAGCAGTCTGGGGGCTGGGTTTTTGGGGAGTTAGGAATCCAGGCCTAATGCCTCGGGCCTGGGTGCATGTTTGGGTCAATTTCTCTCTCCATGGTGACTCTGTGTACTTGTCCCAGGGGTGGGGCGTGAGAAGCCCTCTTTCTCCTCCTGTGGATCTGGGTACATTTATTAGAGACCATCACTGGTATCACTTGTCATCCCGTTGCTCATCGATTTGCTTGAGCAGGCACTAGTAACGTCTCCACTTGTCCCTGTCGCGTGCTAGTGTAGCCCAATGGCGTCTGCTCGCTCCAGGAAAATGAAGAGCTTCAAACTGTTCGTTCAGGTCTTGACAAAGAAGTCTGACCATCTTGTAGGTGGGCAGCCAGGCATTCTTTTGACGTCTCGTGAAATCCAGTCGGTAACAGCTCTAGTCCAGCGGTCATTTCCAACTTGCATTACGTGTCTGATTTTCGATGCCTTGGCAAACGAGGCAGCGTCTCAATCGTCGACGGAGGTTGGAACTCCGGATTCCTTCTCAAAAAAAAATCGAAAAGATGTGCCCAGAGCCGAAGGCTCTTGGTCCTCTTAACTATTTCAAAAATGGGCCCCATTTGAGTTCATCGGAGAAGAAACTTCTGAGAAGAAAACCCTCCTGTCTGTCTGTGGGCATGGGCCGCTAATCTCCTCTGAGGGCTGTGTTTCCCAGCTCAGGTGGAGAGGGAGGGTGACATGTCCTGCCTGAAGGACACAGTGGGGCCACACTTCAGGGACAGGCAGAACTGGGCTGCAGCAGGGCCAATGGCTGCCCTGAGCCTCAGTTTCCCCAGAGCAAAAAAAGCATGGGAGCAAGGCCTCCCTGAATGGGGTCCTGAGCCCTTCTGCTCTCTGGTGGTGCCAGCACGCAGCACTGTTCAGCCAGACACGGGTTTGTCCTGGTCTCCAGGACACTCTGAGAGAAGAGAAGCCAGGGGGCCCAGGAGCTGGCCCAGGGCTGGAGCTGGCCAGTTCTGCTGGGAGGGAGAGCCATGTTCTCTACTGCCACGGGCTCCTGCCTGGCGTATACACATCAATCGTGGAAATGCACAGGTGTCCACGCAGCGCTGCCCATCCCACGGACTCTCGATTGGTGCCAGGGGCTGCACCTTATCCACCCAGCTAACCAAGACCTTCATCTTCGACCAAGGCTCAGGATTGCCCGCCGGGTGTCTGGGGATTCTCTCACGGGGCTGGGCCACTGCTGAGCCAGGCAGGAAAGGGCCGAGTGAGCCTGGAAGGTTCTAGCTTCCCCACTCTCAACCACCCCAGTTTCTTGGGGGCAGATGAGCTCAGAGCTCCCTGGTGTTGCCGTGCCCCGCCTCAGGCTGCTGGAATGCCTGGCGTGCTTCCACGTGTATTTCTGGTGACAGGTAGATCTCGGTTTGAAAGACTCATTTCTCAACCCTCATGCTCCTGGGTGCACCTTGATTTTTATTTTCTTGCAGCTCAATCTCCTAAGAGAGGCAGAACTTCTTTTTCATCGATGGTACACCTTTTTCTTCTCCTCTTGCCCTCGGAGGCGATGCTCCATCCTGGGAACCCCGGCTCCATCCTCAGCTTCTGTCTGGGCCCCACTTAACGCACAGTCTCACGGCCGACCGGGTTTAATCCCTGGTACCCCATACGGTTCCCTGAACTCCGCCAGGAGTGATCCCTGAGCACAGAGCCAGGAGTAAGCCCTGAGCAGAGCTCGGTGCTCCTCCCAAATAAAAGTTTACCAAGAAACAGGAATATTTAACTTCTGGAGTTGAGATTGCAGGCATCAGATCTGACTTTAGGACAGACCCTCCCGGGTGGAGCTGTGTTCTGTGCCCACGGAACACCAGAACAGGATGTTCATTTGTGATTCACTACTTGGAAGTGAATCCCTCAATTCCTCTGTACCCAGGGCCCAGGGCTCCCTAAACATGACCCCAACTGGGGAGACCTGGGGTGAAGGTTGGGAATCCAGACCCTCTGGCCTGTCCGGGACCGTGAATGGCTGAGTGAGGTCTGGGGACGGTCTGGGGTACTTACTGGAGAGGTCCCTGCCCACGCCCAGAGCCAGGCCGTCTTTGATCCACAGCACAAAGCCTTCGTACTCGGGGATGGCACACAGGAGCGTCACGGGCTGGCCTGACACCACCGCCTGGTCCTGCGGCTGCTGACTGAAGGAGTACACTTGGCCTGGGGAGAGAAGGGCACAGCGGTCAGGATGCATCCCCCTTTTCCTAAAACAGCCACATGGGCCCAGGGGACAAGGCCTCCCTGGGGTGTCTCAATTTCTGCCTGAGACTCCTGGCAGCTTCTGGAAACTTCCGGCCTGCCCAGCAGAGACTCCCGCCCTCAGGAGCTGGAGCCCAAGGGCAGGTCGTAACACACACATGCACACACACACACACATGCACAGCCACATGCACACATGGGCACGTGCACACACACACACACACAACCACACGTACACACAGACGGACACACCTGCATACATATATGCACATATACACAAGGTATACACAGAAGCACATGCGTGAATGTGTACGCACACACAGGCAAAACATGAATGTGCACACAGGGGCACACACACACACACAAACACCCTGGTCTAACCACAGTCAGACTTTCCTGCTGCATTTGGCTATGCCCTCTGCTGCCCACAGGACGCTTCTCCTCCACCTCCCTCTCTCACTCCCACTCGAGCAGGGCAATTGGTACCCAAGAAACAGTAGCCTTGTCTCAGGCTCCCAGCGGAGCTGGGCCAGACCCAGCAGGCTGCAGAGGAGGTGGGAGGGAGCAGGGCGTCTGCTCTCCTCTGCCTCTTGCTTAGGACTGCAGACCCTGCGCCAGCTGGTCACGACTGTGACCCCCCACACCTCCCCAAGGGATGCTGAGTCATGCAAGTGACTCAGCCGGTATTTCGCTGAGCACCATGGTCCAGCTGAGCCTGTGTGGGATGCACCAGGCTCTGTCCTAAGATTTCAAGCATCAGCTCGTTGATGGTTCCATCCTTATGACAGCCCACTAGGCAGGTGCTAGCCTCGACCCTGTTTTCCAGGGGCCAAGGAGGCGAGGAACGTGGCAGCCTGCTAATTACCTGCTTACCTGGGAGTGCTTCCTCTGCTTTCAGCGCACACATGAGCCGGTTAGCACCTGTCTACACTGGGAGTGCCTGCTCTGGATCTGACAGCACACAATCCAGCTAATCCCCGTCCACACTGCGTGCACCTCCTGGGGGCTGGCCAGCACACAGGATGACAAGAAGGGATTCTGTGCCCCCCGGGAGCTGCAGCTGCGTGTGGGATGGGATCTGGGTCTTCCCTCAGTTCACCCAACACCTGCCCTTCCCCCTGTTCCCCCCCCCCCCGCCCCCCACCCATTTTCATGTTTCCATGCCTGAGAGTTACTTGGCTTCCCAGTCAGAGTCACTGCCCAGGGGCATGCAGCTAACAGGAACTGCTGAGTCCTTGTTCTCTGTTTGATAGGGGCCTCCCCTGCAGTGCTGGGGGCCAGGGCCACTCCTTAATGTACATCTGCCATGTGCCCTGACTTCAGAGCTCAGCCCTAGAGTTTGGGGGCTCACCAGGGCTACAGCAGGACTCAGGGCTACAGCAGGACTTAGGTGACAGCGGGACTTGGGGTTACAGTGGGGACTTGGGACTACAGCAGGACTCAGGCTATAGCAGGACTTGGGGCTATAGCGAGTCTTGGGGTTATGGAGGGACTTAGGGTACAGCAGGACTCAGGGCACAGGGGGGACTCGGGGCTAAGGCAGGACTCAGAGTACAGTGGGACTTGGGTCTACAGCAGGATTTGAGTCTACAGCAGGAACGGGGCCACAGGGGGACTCGGGGCTATAGGGGGACCCGGGGCTGTGCTCCACACCTAAACTCCCTCCAGTCCTGAGTTCGATTCTCCTCTACCCTGTGCTGCACAGGGCAGGGGCTGAGGACAGGAGCAGGATGCAGCCCTGAGAGGCAGGGATGGCCACTGCCTTCCTGTCTTGGACCACAAAGCCCCAGGATCTGGCCACAAGGCAGGGCGGAGCAGCGGGCCCCTAGCAGGCATGTGTGGCCCGTGGAAGCAGAGGAGATGGACGTGGCTGCCAGCCGGAGGCCCTGGAGGAGCACGGGGGCCTAGGGAGAGCACGGAGGCCCTGTGGGAGGAGCATGGAGGCCCTGTGGGAGGAGCTGTGGCAGGTGTGGGGTCTCCAGCCTGATGAAATCGTGGCTGGGCCTCTGAGGAGTCCCATTAACAATCAAATTGGCCTTGAATTGTGGGAGTAACACTTTTTATTCTGATTTGAGCTTTACAAATTAGATTTCATAGGACATTTTAATCAGCTCTGTGTGCTGGGTTTTTTTTCCCCTCCCTGCTCTGTCTCTTCAGGTTCTCTGTTGTAATTAGAGTGTTTCTGGCACCAGAACAAGAGAGAGAAGGAAGGAAGAGATGAGAGGAGACTGGGGAGCGAGAGACTGGGGGAGAAGTGGTAGGGAGGGAGAGAGGGAGAGTGAGGGGAGGCGGGAGAGAGGGGAGGGAGGAGTGGGCTGGCACCAGTCAAGGTCAGCCTGGGCCCTGGCATGTTCAAGGTCAGACAGCGGGTCCAGGTGTCATTCAAGGTCACAGGTGGGATCCCAACTCAATCCTCTGTGACTGTCTGTCTGCTGCTGCTTCTCCTGCGCCCGTGGTACTGTGGTACCACTGTTTCAAGAAAGCCAGGTTTTGATTTTCTGAAGACGACTCTCTCTTCCAAAGAGGCCACACCCTCAGACCACCCAAGGCGGGCAGGGTTTGGGGGACAGGAGTGATTTCTCGGTTCTCCCGTCAGTGCGCTGAGAACCTCCCCACCCATGATCAGGATGGGGTACAGCACTGCACTTGGGGGCCCGAGCACAGGATGCTTAGTGATGGTTGGGACGTAGGATCCAGTCACAAGGTGGATCGGATCCTAATCACGAAACCAGCATCGTTCTGCTTGGACATGGCTAACAGAACTGATGTGACTGTACTGACGGCCAGCTGGGACAGGGACTATGCCACAGGTGACCGGAGGCGGGGGCGGGGATTCAGGGCATGCAGAAGCACCCCAGGCCCATGCAGGGGGACTTCAGCTTTCAGTGCACCCCATTCCCCGTCCCAGCCCATCCCGCTGGGTGTCCTTCCCTTCTGCTGCCCAGCCACTGTGTTCCAGCCACTGTGTCCCTAGGTCTGGCTCAACTTCTCTCCACGACTTTTCCAGAGCCCTGGGTTTTAGGGCCTCCTTCCTGCCACCAGGACCCCACCAGCACCCCCACCTCTTCCTAGCCCTGACCACACGCCCTTGTCTTGTTTGAGGCACTGGCCACTGTGCATCTAGCACAAATGAACCACCCACACCCGGCTCTGGCAGCTCCCTGCTGCCCCCAGGAAGACTCAGTCAAGAAGACCCCACTATTCTCCAAGAGGGCTGAGGTGGGAAGGGCCCAAGCAGTCTCTGATGGGTGGTCGGTGGTGCTGGGGGCCCGGCTGCCTGTGTGTGAATCACTTAAGATCTTTCCCCAACAATTTGATTTATTTGCTTAGTTTCTGGGCCACACCCAGCGGGTGCTCAGGGCTGACTCATGGCTCTGCACTCAGGAATCAGTCCTGGTGGGCTCAGGGAATCCTAAGGGATGCCGGGGATCGGACCGGGGTTGGCTGCATGCAAGGCAAGTGACCTCCCCGCTGCCGCTGTACTGTCTCTCTGGCCCCTGAAAAACTTCTCATCTTTTTAGTACATTCAAAAAACTCCAGATTAGGCTTTTTTTTTTCTGGCCAGGAGTGCCTTTGGAACAGCAGCATCCAAACCTTTGTGGTTCCTGGACTCTTTCTCTTCCCACACATCCACTTTCTCTCCCACCCCTTGCTCCCCAAACACCTCCTCCTATTCTTGGGGCTGTGTCTGGACCCTGATATCAGGGCCACCCCGGAGATCTCCAGAAGGGACTGTGCTCTCACCTCTAAGGTTCTCAGAGTGCCATGGGCTGACCTTCGCTCTGTGGGTATGTTTCCTTGCCCTGCAGATGCCAGGCGGGGCAAGGGAAAGACCCAGCAGAGACCCAGACACCGGGCAGGACAGTGGAGACATGCGCCAGGCAGGTGAGGGAAGGGACTCTGGTCCTGACGCTAGCAGTGTCCTGGGGACCTTGTCCTCACCTCCCAGCCGCAATCTCCACATCTCTAAAGGGGAGGCTGGGGCCGGAGAGACAGTGCACGAGGTAAGTTGGGCCAGTCCAGCCAGGTTCCATGCACAACCCGCCCCCCCCAGCACCCTGGCCCCCCTCCCCTACTACCCCAGGAATGATCCTGAGCACAGAGTCAGGTGTAAGCACCATCAAGTGTATGTGTGTGTGTGTGTGCGTGTGTGTGTGTGTGTGTGTGTGTGTGTATCATGCATGTGCATGCGTGCAGGACACACCCACTTTTACAAAAGCTGCAGATGGCATTTTTATTTACTTGTGGGGTCTCTGAAGCAGACCTAGGGGAGCCGGTGATACTCAGCCAACAAGGCCAATGGCTCATTGCTCATACCTGGTGATTTGGCACCACTTGGGCGCGGCGATGCTGGGGCTTACCAGGGTCACACCCTGGCATTCTTGGGAGTGGGGGGCACGGAGGGACAGGGATCATGTTCAGGTCCTTGAGCAATCAAGGCACGGCTATCTCCCTGGCTCCCGAAAGATATTTTTTGTTTTACTTTACTTCTTTATGTTTTGGGGGCCATACTCAGCAGTGCTCAGGGCTTACTCCTGGCTCTGTACACAGGGATCCCTCCTGGAAGGCTCAGGGGACCATCAGAAGTGCCAGGGATCCAGCCTGGGTTGGCCCTGTGGAAGGCTAGAGCTCTACCTGCTATATTATTGCTCTAGTCCCCTGAAAGATATTTTAAAAGAGAGTGTTCTTATTTCCCTCACTGTCCACAAAGTTTCCTAGCCCAGGACCCTGAAAAATGCCCCCCCACCTCCCCAGCGCCTGTCATCAGGGGCCCGTCGGCTGGGCAAGGGACCTTTACAAATTGGAAGCTGAACTGACTCGAATCCGTTTTCTCCCTGAGTCACTGCTGGACTCGGCAGTCCCCGTGGCCCCTGGGCCCTGCCTGGCTAGCCATGTGGAACAGACTCAAATGTCGCCGTCTGCTCTGTCCTGGGCCACCAGGCGGGGAGGCTTAAGAATAC